CAGGCAAGCAGCCCACAACCTAGAGGGACTGTCAATGATAGAAGTAAGATAACAAATAGAGGGAGAGAGCAAGTGCCGGGCAAGTCCCTAGCAATTTTGCTGGCGTGACAGTTTCACCTTAAAAGCCTTCACACTCCTCTTCATCATCTGATATTAAAAGTTCATCAACGACATCTTGGTGCCATGATAGGGATGATAGGGGTTTGACTGGTCGACATTTTCTATGCTGTACTGTACAATGGGGCAGTATTGTGGTTGGCTGTTGGCTGTATACAAAGCCTGATTTGATTGGTCCCTGCTCCCTGTTTGCCCGCCCTGTCACTATAGCAGTCTGGTCCACCCTTGCATCAGCATCTCCCTGGGACCTCACTAGTGCGCAAGTGCGAGCTCTTCAACATTCTAACAGGCACCATGATAGCGCAAAATCGCGAATCTTCAATGCATATGTAAAGAAATATATGGTAACCCGAATTTACCACACTCGCAAAATCGCACACAGCCAACCATACACCCAGTATGGTATCGCGATTCGCGATTTTGCGCTATCATACTGGGTGAATGGTCGGCTGTGTGCGATTTTGCGAGTGTGGAAAATCGCATAACAGCAAAATCGCATAACAGCCGAGCATACACCCAGCAGCGCTGCTGATGCCTAAACGGTATGTGGAATGAAGTGGGCGGGCATCGGGAGGCCACTATGGCACGGGGCAAGCACTATGGGCAGTCTATCTGAAGTGTACCTGGCGTATAAGACGACCCCCCACTTGGAGGCATATTTTTCAGGGCCAAAAAATCGTCTTATACGCCGGCAAATACGGTATGTAAAATACAAATGAAATGCCCTGTATTGTCTAAAATTGTATTTGTGGAAAAGCATAAGAACTGTAACCTGCAAGGTCTGAAGAGCTCCCCTGCCGTGGTTTTTGTGTGCCTGAAGTCCTTGCTCTGCCAGGAACAAAGCAAATCAGCATATTCCTCACAGTACATCCGGCCTTCAGGGATCAGTTCCTATCTTGTGTTGCTAAAGGGTCTGATAAGGAGAAAATTCTGAGATGTTCTAAATTAAATTACAGGGGCAGGCCAGCCACAGAGTGGGAGACAGAATTGTTCATCTGCTGTTGCCCGAGGGCAGCTAACAAAGACTGCGCATTCCTTCCCTTGCCTGTGGGATTGCTTTCCAGGGGGCTGTTGGCACAGAATAGCCAGGCTACCCTGACAGTCCAGGAGCCTCACTGGTTGTTTTCGGATTGCTGCCACAGCCAGTCTGCAGGAGCGCACGCGTCTTTATGTGGACTCCGCCGCTGTCCCAGAGCTGGCCCCTCACCCTCTCCCACCCCTTTGCCAATTTGTTCTCGTAGTTAAAGACTAGTCGTTTCACAGTGGCTGTAGAATCAAAGGTAAAATGCCAAGTACAATTCTCTCTATCACTTGTAAAATAAAATTAGTTTAGCCCTAGCTGGTTTGGCTCAGTGGATAACGTAAGCTTCTTTCAGACCACCTCTTTCTTCTTCCCGTCCCTCTGCTGATGTATAAAAACGCTTGCAGAATTCTGGGAGAATGGGCGTGCTGTCTCATCTACCCAGTTACGCTGCTGGGGTTTAAACTCCATGCCCAAGACTGGTCTTCCTTTTGGCTGGTATTTTTATCTCAATAAAAGTTAGTTACAAAAAAGACTTGGAAGTTAAATTTTTTTGTTTGGGCTATCTGATATAAATGGAAAGAAATAATTGATTAGCAACATTCTCCATATTCCATTTCTTTTTATTTTAGTAAATTACCAGCAGCAGATCTTTTGTGAAGGATTTCAGAAGTCATTTTGGATGGCACTGGTGTTTCAGAGTCCACCTGGGGATTTATTGTGCTCTAGGCCAGTGCTCCTCAAAGTGTTTGGTCTGTAAACCGCTTGTTACCAGCCTACAGTTAAGCCACACTTAAAAACTTATGTAGCAACTTGATCTTGTCTCACGTAGTCATGGTACTTTACAAAAAAATTGGCCTGCAGTGGCCTGGGAAAAGCACCGAACTGGTTCTTTCCCACGGACAGTCAGAAAGCACTGTTCTAAAGCAGGCAGCTTTGAGGAGGAAGAGCTTTAAAGAAACCATCTTTCTTTTACATTTATTTTCTCTCCCTCAGGGATTTTGCATTGGAAGACATGGATCTTGCTGCCAATGAGATCAGCATTTATGACAAACTTTCAGAGACGGTTGATTTGGTGAGACAGACGGGCCATCAATGCGGCATGTCAGAGAAGGCAATTGAAAAGTTTATCAGACAGCTGCTGGAAAAGAATGAACCTCAGAGGGGGCCCCCCCAGTACCCTCTCCTTATAGCTGTGTATAAGGTAAAAATGGGTTCTGACTTGGCAAAACTTAGATGGAGCACAAAGCCTTCAACTTTCTCCCCAAATACTACTGTGACTGATTCCACCGTTGAACCTTGGCCTTCGCTCTTATTAACGTGTTATGAGGAAATTTGACTATTTTGTTAACTGTCTTAAATGAAAGCTGTGTATTTATATTTAAATTATATTTGTGTGTATTTTTAGTGGTGGACACACCCCCTGGTCATATGATAGCAGCTTGGTGAGCCTTGCAGTCCTCTTGGTTCTCAAACTTTAAGTGCTTTCATAAGTGAATATAAATGGCTTATTTATGAAAATGGATTAGATCTTAAAGTACTAATAGTAGATGAGGACTGTTATTTTCTTGTCATGAAAGTATTTTATTTGCTGGGATAAGTACTAATAATTTTCCCATCTTTCCTTGTAGGTCCTCGCAACCCTGGGATTAATCTTGCTCACTGCCTACTTTGTGATTCAGCCTTTCAGCCCATTACAACCTGAACCAGTGCTTTCTGGAGCGTACACCTGGCGCTCACTCATCCATCACATCCGGCTGATGTCCTTGCCCATTACCAAGAAATATATGCCAGAAAATAAGGGAGCTCCTCTGAATGGGGGTGATGAAGACAGATCCTTTCCAGGTAGATGCTTCATTTACTACGTATGAGTAGTAAGCCTTCTTGACGATATATGTTAGGAAAAGAAATAACATTTGTTGACATCTCGTGAGAGACACTTTTCCTGTATTGTCTCATTTAATTCAATCCCCACTAAAGTTCTGTGGGATAGATTTTATTTTCCCCATTTTGCAGATTGAGAAACTAAGGCTTAGAAAGATTAAGAAACTTGCCTGGGCCCTGGCTGGTCGCTCAGTGGTTAGAGCGTTGGCCCATGGACCGAAAGGTCACAGGTTTCATTCTTGGTCTAGGGCCCATGCCTTGGTTGCAGGCTTGATCCCCGGCTCCTGTTGGGTGTGTGTGGAAGGTAACCAATCGATGTTTCTCTCTCTCTCTTCCTCTCTCCCTCAATGGAAAAATATATCCTCAGGTGAGGATTAAAAAAAAAGAAACATAGCGGAAAAACACATCCGATGGAGCCAAATCCAAAACACATGTGTTAGGGATGAGTGTTTTTATTCATAGGAAGGATTTGAATGTATCTGTTCTACCTTTCTCTCTCCTGTGATCCCAAACCATAATAGATATTTTAATAAATAGCTGTTGACTTATTGAAGGCATCTGAGTTCAGCCTGCTTTTAACCAGATCCTCTAACCCCCCATTAGCCTGTTGGCTAGGTTTTCGTCTTAAGTATCTCTCACTCTTCCAATGTGATCTTTTCTCTCTGTCTCACAGTGTACTTATTTTGTGTACAATTTTGCCAATAAATTGAATTTAAGAAACATTTAAATTTGGTAGCAGTGCATCAGTGGTAGCATAGGAATTCCTAGTCTGATGGACCATTTGAGGAGTTTCCTTTAAGAATAGTGACACATGTGGTAAGACCTGAAATTTACTTTTTGAGAAAGACTAGAAGGATAACATTTGGGGATTTTACCTTGTTTGGTGGTGTTAATCTTATTTGTCCATGTGAAGGAATGTGTAAATTAATATCACAAATGGATTATAGGTCTTTTATGTAACTGTGTTCTGAAACCTTTAGAGCCCAGAGAGAGAGGAAGGGAGAGGGAGAAAAAGGGAGGGCTGGAAGAAAGGGAGGGAGTGAGAGAGAGGATGAGGGAAACAGAGAAACATCAATTAGTTGCCTCCTGCACACACCCCAACCAGGGATTGAACCCACAACCTGTGCATGTGCCCTGATCGGTAATCAAACCCACAACCCTTCAGTGCATGGGACAATGCCCAACTAACTAAGCCACACTGGCCAGGACAATAGTCATAATACCAGTCTTTAAGCAAGACCTAATCAGTCATAAAAATCATCCCTTGGCTTGGTCTCCTTTGAAATCTTTTGTTGTACATTTGAGGAAATCACGGAAAGATTTCCAAAATTGTATCAAAATCAGAGGAAGGGAACATCATAAATCAAAACCTCGGGCTTGTGAGTTGTTGTTTTTTTAATTAGCTCATATGTTTAGAGTTTTAAATGTCAAATATAACTTCCTGTATTTATTGGGAAGGTTGTTTTTGAAAAGTCATCAACAAAGCTCAGAAAATATGAAGTTTTTAACTCTGATCAGGAAAGTCCAGAGCACGTGGGGGAAAGAGCCAGAGGACCTCTTCAGTCAGGCCAGCTCCTTACCTGTCTTCCCCTCACCAGCTCCTGAAAGGCATCTTCTGCTCATGGGCACAGGAGATGAACTCAATGGTTTTTTGGGACCAGGGTGATAGCAGTTACGGTCTTTCTCTCTGTCCTATACAGTAAATCTCCATAGACTGTTGAGTTAAGCAATAATAGTCAATGGACAATGATTGCTCATTTTCTAAGTCAGAGTTTTAAAATTAAAAAAAATGTTAGAGTCTTGTCAACAAGCCTGATTTTTTGGTCCACTCCAAATAAATATTTTGCTTTGCAGATGGAAGTAAAATGAGTCCTTGGAGCTCAGTTACAAAGAGAGACCATTGGAAGGGTGTGGTTTAGCTCTTAAAATGTTGTTGATTCTGTTCAAGGGCTGCTTTCATTTGTAACGTGGATATTGGTGCGCCGTATTTTCCCATGTGTGATGATTCTGGAAAGCTGTAGACATGTAAACTAACAGCGTTTGCTGAGCATTTGGAAGAAAACTTAAGAATGTGACATTATGTAAGGGGTAAATAGAAATATATTGGGGAGAATTAACTTGAGAGGGCCCCAAAAGTGAAAAAGTTTAATTGGCATTCGTAATGTCGTGCTACCAAAAAGCACTGCCTTTCAGTTTGGATTACTTAGGAGTCCCTTTAAAGTAAATGTGGAGGGGGAGTGCTGGGGGAAGTCCTGGAGAGGGTTGCTTCGATAAGGGCTGGCCTGTCTAGCTATCCCAGGGTCGTCCGATGCTCCCGCTGAATGATGGAGGGCAGCAGGAGCTGTGGCGAAAGTGGTCGGTTTCCTCCTGACACTGGTAGTTTTTCGTCTCAACTCCTCCCGGGAAATAGAAGGCAACAGAATTGAGGTTCTTTTTCTAGGTTTCAGCCTTGGGCGGGAAAGCCTTGAGGAACATGCAGGGACTGTAGTGAGCCATGTAAACATCCCTTGTTGCAGCAGGAAATAAACAAGCTGACCAGATGCCAGGCCCTATTCAAAGGGCTTTCTATATAATATTGCTTCATCTTTATAATATTCCTGTGAGATAGGTTCTGGTTTTATGCCTATTTTACAGATGAAGACACTGAGGTACAGTGAAATGAGGTCACTTGCCCAAGGTCCCAAGCTAGTTAAGTAATGGAACTGTAATTTGAATGCAGGCAGCCCATCTTCAGAGTTTTGAGCTCTTAACATGTGGTATGATAGTTTGTAGCTACACAGTACCGAAGAATAGGAGTTTGATTTGGGAGTTCTACACTCTCTCTCCCTCAGGTCATCGGATGCTTTCTTTCAGCTCCCAGTCCCTAAAGAAAAGGCTCTTTCTCACTGGCACTGCAAGTCCAAAGATAAGAGTCCCCCAAGTTACTGGCCCTTTAGAATTTGTCTGAACCACTCTTTTCCTGGGCATTCAACCTAGCTCGTCCTCCTCCCTGTTGGCACCATCATAGGTACTGTTATTGTTTGACTTAATCCTTTCACTTACTAACCCATCGTTTTCCCTTCCATTCTTAGTCCCCTTTATGTCCACTGTGACCCTGCCAGCAGCCGTTCTCTTGGCTTTCACCCTTCCATGGGATCATTGTCCTAGAGCTAAAAAGGAACTTTTAAAAAGGAACTGATCTAGTACACATCCCCGTTTTATAAAGAGGACATGGAGGCCAGGAGAGGTGAAGTAACTTGTTACCCAGCTAAAAGTGGCAAACTAGCGCTTGAACCTGGTGTAGCATTCTTCCCATCACATCACACTTACTGCCAGTTGTAACCACCCAGTCAAGCCAGATTCCGGCATGTTAGGTTCAGTGATTTTGTTTACGTTGGGCATTTACAACCTTTAATTATAAACACCTGTTTATACTGAAGAGGCCTGGGATCCTTCTCTCCTATAAGGAGAAAGTGCATCTCAGTATCTGCACTGCAACCCTGGAGCTTGATGCGGCTGTGAGCTGTCAAGGGGAGGCTGAAACACCCAGGAGTGCTGGGAATAGCAGATCATGCATTCACTCAGGACTGAGGGCCTGATCAGACTGAGTCCAGGCCAGCGCCCACGATGAAATGCTGGACCTCAGGCAACACCTTACTCTTTTATTTTCACATAAAAGAATAAAGCATTCCTTGAGCTGATAATACCAGCTCCATCAAGCATTGCTGTGTATCAGGCTCTGTGCCATGTATTTTCTCAGTCTTCATAACAGTCACAAAGAGTATTGTTTCTATGTACATTTCAAAGACTATGCCAATGGGATTGACTAACTTACCTAAAATCTCACAGTTAGAGACATTTTTATACAAGAATTCATGAACATACATGAACTTTGTGGTTCGGAATGGTTCAAATGCATTGCTTCTGAAGGCAAGGCTATTGGCACAATGATTTCTTGGGTTCCTTCCATCCCTACCATGATGAAAATGGCTCTGGATTCACGGCCACTCATGCAGGGGGCCTGGCCCAGGGCGCCTTCACCATCAGGACTTCATCATGCCTCATGCCCAGGGTTGCAGAAGAGGTGCTAAGCAATGAGCTGCTGGCGAGTAGCCTGATTAAATACTGAGCATGCACCAGGGAAAGTCACAGAAACTTTGTTGTGGGCTTGCAGGCTTTTCTTGGGTACATTTGTAATATAAGAAATCTAGAAGTTGTACTTTCGTAATATTTACTTTGGGTTTTTCCAAATTCAAACTGCTCATTTGATTTTTCTCCCCATGGACTTAATTGCGAAAGCTTCTGAAAAGTCAAGGTTTCATTCATTCATTCACTCATTCAGTGAAAGTGTATTGAGACCTCACAGTATGCCAGGCACTGTTCTCAACAGAGCCATGAAGAAGACAGACAGTCCTCCTGCTCTTGTGGAGCTAGTCTTGGCTTTGTGCCTTTCTTTCCTATCTTTTTTACCCAGAGGGAGGTTTTTGTCCTGGAAAGAAGTCTCCCCGTCCCCCGTCCCCCACCTGCCCAACATACACACACACTTTTCTCCAGGTTAATAATCCGTGTAAAAGGACTCTCTCCACTCAGAATTCCAGGGCATGTTATGGTTGTCCACAGCAAACCAGCCTAAGTGTGTTTTCTTTATAAACAGCTCTCAGGCACCAGGACTCCTCCTGACCGGCCTTGGCCACCACTTTTCCACACAATGCCCAACTTACAGAGAAGGCTGGGAGGTTACTGTTTCTGCCTTTCTTAACTCTGGGGCCATGTTTTGTCTCAGAGACTGTTTCTGATATCTCAAACTGAAATGATTCCAATTCATGGTGTGAAGTTGGAATGCAGGTCATGAGTTTTATTGAACTCTTATATGGGCATTTCACTTGCCTGTCATACCTTTATAAAATAAAACAGCTAGTATAAGGAGGCTCTCTGGGGTAAAGAAGCTTGGAAATTAAAAGGAAGTTGCTGTCCAAATCCCA